TTATTTTTTAATTTATTTTTTCTTCTTTTAAGAAATAAAACAGGGGGAAATAAGTAGATGATACCAAAAAAAAAATGATAATAAAAGAGAGCATTTCTTTAAAACAAAATGCTACTAAATTAAGCATGATCAGGGACTATTTAATTAGTTTTTGACATTACATGTGTTAATTAATTTTTTTAATAAATTATGAGGATTAAGCTGTAATTAACTCAAGAAAAAAGGAGAAACAAAAACAGCAACAAAGCATCAGTACCATATGCCAACGCAAATTTTTCAAACAATAAGGTGATTCACGCTAGAGGTGAGGCCACAAGCATTGGCGCCGCATACAGTGGGCCCGGCGGAGGATCAATATATAAACTACACTAAATTATAATCTTTGGATGGCCCAAATTAAGGATCAATATATAAACTACACTAAATTATAGGGACTATAATTAATTTTCTGGAGAGCCTGGCTTTTGCACAGTATTCACTCCTATAAATATTAACCGACTATAATGTATATTTTCATCATGATTTTAAAGTTATTTTAATTTTTTATTTTAAGATATATTAAAATTTTCTATTTAAAAATAACTATATTTTTTATTTTTTATTTTTTACCAAACAATGTCAAACACATATTTTAATAAAAGTTTATTTTTGTAAAATCTTATGTTTTATAATTATATCTAATTAAAAAAATAGTATGCACTGCAATATTATTCAGTATATGAAGAAACATACACGTTAATAACACATTGCAGTCATATAATATTGTCACACACAACCCATCACCAACCATGACCATATATAGATCGGTATCCGTATTTGATCTCTTCTTTGTTGGCTGCTATAGCTATGATTCAAAACATCTTTCACGAACAAATTGCAATCCAAATTAACAAAAAAAAATACAAATATAAAAGAAAGAGAGATTGTTATTAATCATGTATTATGAAGTGTAGCTTTAACCTAAAAAAAAAGAGATTATATATAGGCTATGTTAGGAATTTCGACCAATAATGTTCTGATAGTTGTCCATTGGAGACTAAACATACTTATACAATATTTAACATGGTTAGATAAATCACTTACATTCATGAAAGAAATCGATATTATTAAAGATAGAGAAAGAAAACAATATAGATACATGAAAGAGGAGGATCATATCACTCAACTTTACTCTCATTGCTCTCATAAACACTATTGCACAATGCAACAAGGTTGCTATCCTTGACAGCTACTCCTCTTTCTCTCTCACATGTTTCTCTCACATTCTCTCATTCTCTCCTTTTGCTCTTTAACTTATGCCTTTATTTATAGGCATATTTTGCTCTTTAACTTTTTGCTCTTTAACTTATGCCTTTATTTATAGGCATAAATGGTATGACAACTTGGCTATAAATTATGACATTAATGGTGGCCGCATATGGGTTGTATCATTTTATCAATGGTTGGTGCAACTTATTTGATAATACTCACCTACCATTGTAACCTTTTGACAATGGCATCCATCCTTTTTAGAGTAGACTGCAAATGCTTCTTTCATGATTGCTGCATATTAATGACAACAATCCTAATAGGCTAAATTAAAAATATTATTCTACCCTTAATAAATAAAACAAGGCACACACACACACTTAACGTCTCCCCTTAAATTCATGATGCAGTAATTACAAATATCAAAAGTTTGCTAACTCGAAAATGAAAACAAGAAATAGAATGTGACTTGGTAAAGAATTTTGCAATCTGCAAAAAAGAAGAAAAAAAAGTAGAGTAATGGTGCCATGCTTGAGATGATAACGAGTAAGATAACAATCGATTTCAATGTGCTTAATTCGTTTATGAAAAACCAAATTGTGAGCAATTTAAATAGACTTAACTCTGGTTGTCACAATATATAGTAGTAGGATGAGAAAGAGAAACTCTATTATCAGCAAGTAACCAATATAACCAAACAATCTCTTTGGTAATAAAGAAGATTAAGAAATAATATATTGTTTTTTACTCTTCCAAGAAATAAGAGAATCACCTAGAAAGATATAGAAACCAGTAACAAACTTGCAATCTGTAGGATCACTACCATGACCAGCATCAAAGTATGCTCGCAGTTGCAAGGAAGATGTGGATGAGAGTAAAAGATTGTGAAAGACCATACCATGTGGATATCGCAAAATACAAAGAAAAGTTGCCGAGTAAACTATAGTAGGAGAAATAACAAACTAACTAACAACAAGAACAACTTATGCAATATCCGGACAAGTAATAATGAAATATATCAAGCTCCCAACAATAGTATAGTATAGTATAGTGTCGCACCCTCGCAAGCGAAGCGCGGCGTCGCGGTGACCATCGATTGATTTTGAGGTCTTTTAGTTTTATTTTTGTGTAAAAGAGAGTCACCACCTAATATTATGGTCACTAGGAAACCTAACTGGTCTTTCAAAGATTCTAAGGCAAGGGACTGGTTGTGTAAAGGGAAGGTGTTAGCACCCCTAGTACGCCTTACCTAAGATAAGCTGCTTGGTGTTTAGTTTGTCTTATAATTGCTATGGTGTTGGTATTTTCTAATCCCGTCAGTTTTTTTTGTTTGATTCTAACTAAATTTATTAAGAAAGAAATCTAAGGAGATTCGATATGCTTTATAAGCTCATTTTTTCCTTGGTATTTCAAGAGTTTGCGAATCGTAAATCGCAAGGAGGGACAAAAATTAGAAATCTAGAGTGCTTTAAAAATCTTTTTTTTTTGTCTTAGTGTTTTATACTCTCACGACTCGTAAACCGTGGAGTAAAAAAAATATCCTCGATTATAATCAAGGCTTCTTTCAAGGATGTGTGCGGATTTATTATTCCTAGAAAATTATTTTGGATATTTACCACTTCGGGTTTCTTTATCCAAATATTAATAGTGAATAATAACAAATTATTCCCAATAATATTTTGGATACTCGTCCTTTAAGGATTTCTTTATCCAAACATTAGCGGTGAATAATAGATGAATTCCCTCCAAAATAAGATTTTTTATATTTTTTTGGAATATTGGCCAATATCCTTTGGAGTTTTACAAACATGTTGTAAAATCCAAAAATACAAGAAAATAATTTTTGTGTTTAAGAAATCCATGCGAAAACACATTTTCAGAACTTCCAATATTTATATTTTTGTATATAAAAAATTCAAAAAGAATGTTAGGGTATTGTCCATATGCAGCACACAAGAAAAAAAATAGATTTATTTTTTTTATCGAAACATAAACATCACTGTTAATCACAATTAAAGACCACAAACCGTGCGTGCATATATATATTAGGCTACCCTAAGAACTGACAAATGTCGAGCATCCTGATATGACTGGGAGTACCCTAAGAATGAACCGGAAAAATCATGATGGCAACAAAGTTTTTTTCCGATGCAAAACTTGGGTTAGAATCCTACTCGCGGTAAAATTCTCTATTTTCATGTCAGATATTTAAACGTGCAGAGCTTGAGCTTCTGATATCGAAATCCATTGATTCGAAAGCCCAAATTCATCTATGCATCCAGGACTATGGCTTTTAAGGGGAGTCAAGGCGAGATATAAATTTTTTTACATGACAAAATCAAGCCACAATCTGGTTGGTCAAAAAGGTCTCCCGATCTAAATTCAGGAAACTAACAATGCCAAGCATCCTCGACTGAGAGCCTGCCATAAGAACAATGAGCCCTAGGACCCAATCAAGGTGTAGGTCCATTCTTCAACATGTCATGAGT